TCAGCAGGAGAGTATGTCCACAAATACATAATGCTTCTGAAAACTTTAAATGAATGGTTTTAGATGTCTGGAATCCCTTAAAACAGTCACTGCTCTAAAGGACAAATTGGAATATAATTCTCAAGGATGGTTTAAACATACTTAGTGTCTAGCAGCAGAAGAAAAGAGGCCAAATGATTTGTTGAGAGATCTTTCTAGTCTCCATTTCTATGATATAACTTCCATTCCATCTAGATACTGTGTACTCATACTGCACCAACAACCACTTGAATTCTCAATCAACACAGATTCCAATGAAGAATGATTTAAGAGCAGATACATACAGATTGTCCATGAAAATTACCATGCAAACTAGAAAGGCAAGCAACAAAAATATGTCTTATAGAAAACTGCACTGTATTCCATATACTAATTTAGAGAATTTGCTTTTTAAGGTCATATTTTTGTTTTCAAAGTAGAAGCCAAAGTGTTTAAAATGCAGTGCATTTAGACTGTGAAGGCTACACCAGTCACGTCTAACGTTTTTCAGCAACTTTCAGTTTTAACATACACTCTTTATAAGCACAAAATTATATTTTCCAGCTTTATAAAGTAAAGCTGAAGTTTAACTATGTTTGTGTTTTCAACAACAAATACTCTGCAACTACACTGTAATTATCTTTTAATTGACTGTGTTCTTACTGATAAATTGTGCAGTCATGGGGGGTGTGTGTGTGTGTGCTCGTCTATCTAGAGAAAGTTTAGTTATCAGGTGCTCCTTTTACATAGTCAGTTTTCAGATCACAACCAGCATTCAAGATGATTAAAAGGTGATAGGATGACTTATTTTCAGACACAAGAGTCCTTCTTGTACTACAAAGCACACAGGTTAGTTGTACTGTTAGAGTCATATGTAGCAGAAGCAGTAAGAAACAAAAATATTTCCTTTAAAAAATACGATTATTTAATCTTTATGTCAAAAAAGCATACAAAGATTATAAATATTAAAAGCCATTCAGCGTTCCTAAAGTACCAAACATGATCTACTTTTCTTTTCTAAAGTCATATTTGATACACACATTATTTTGCCTGATCATGCAACTTTACAAAAGCTAACTTCTTGCAGAAACACCGTATGCAACTAAGCAACTACATCCCGTATCAGTTCACTGTCATTTAGATATTTTCATGTGTCAGAGCAACAGGTGTCATTATTCCACTAGGTTGTAATTACACTGGAGACTATTATTAGTTATTACTCATTTTTCCACTTGAGAATAAATTCAAATTTAAAATTTGGATCTAAATTTCTTCCCCACCTTGGAAGAGACAGTATTTTTCCTATATACTTTAGTATTCCTATTAGTCTCTGTAAAATTCAAACTACAATAGACGCATAATATTTCAATTCAATGATAACAAAAATATGGCATATTGTTGATGTTGATATGAAACCTAGTTCATGTTCTCAGTCCAAACTCTGTGGTATTGTTATTAATTTCATATAACTTCGACTTTTTTGGCAGTTAGAATTCATTTAAAGCTCACCTTACAGTTTAATGTTTGATTTGTTTCACCGAACCTTGCAAAGCACAGTTTTGCTATCATTTAGATTCACCAGAAACCTACCATTAAAACACCAAAAGACCACCAGTCTGCACTCTGTGTATGGCCTCGTCTATTAACAACTTCTGGTGCCATATATTCCACTGTTCCACAGAAAGAGTAGGCTTTTTTTTCATGATCAATTGACTCTTTACTTAAGCCAAAATCTGGAAGAAAAAAGAATAGTTCTTATTGTGTGGGGTTTTTTTAAATCACTTATGGTCAATACTTTCACCATATCATGAAACTTGATGCTTATATCATTCGTATATAAGAATACACATATGCGAATTACAGAAATCTCCTCCCTTCCCCACATTATCACAGGTCCATAACATCAGATATCTTTGTAAAGCAGATGACTTATTTACATATTAAAATATTTATTTCAAACAAATTACACTGTTTGCCCCACAGCAAAATTACCTACTAGTTAAAATTACTTATTTTACCATATTGCTTAAAAAAAAAAAAGAAAACGCAAATATTTTATTATGAGCAGAAGAGATCCCTTTATTTACCTGTCAATTTGATATGTCCTTCCTCATCAAGCAGGATGCTAAAAAACAATAAAAAAACCCAAAACCTAATTAAAATACCATTTATCTGTTGTTTCAGACAATGTACTGACAACGTTTAGGAATAAACAGAACAGCATACACAAAGACAAGCAGAATTGAACATGCATGAAAATGAAACATTAGGAGGAGTTACTTTGAAACTACACATTTTCTTTCCTTTCAATTCTTTCTTTTTAAAGATTATGAAACATAATCATGGTATCAGTGTTTTATTTAACTATCTGGTTAAATTCAGCATGGTATGTAGTAACATTTATCTTGAACTTTCAGTTTTGGCCATCTGCAGCATGTGTCATTACTTTTAACAATTGTGGTAGAGATATAGTTCTATTTCTCCTAAACTGAGCAAGACATGTTAATACAATGTATGTTTGCATATGTGTGCAAAATGGGTATTCATCTGTAATTATAATTTCAATTAATTACTGTGGTGTTGACCACTTCAAATAACATCAAGTAATAAATATTCTCATGTTATACCAAAGAACAGTAGGCCTTGTGCTTCTGCCTGTTTATTTCAATAAGAAAAAAAGCCACACTTCTCTGAGATGCCAACAACTATCCTTAACCATCACTGAATATAATCAAAATTCAAAGCATGCAAAGTATTCAAGAAATGGACTCTAACACCACCTACACAGCAGACTTAGTTCCTCCAGCTTCTCCTGTGGGGAGCTGCGTTTCATCCTGGAGATGAGACATGACCCAGGCACACCCTACTCACCCATTTTCCCTGCCCTTCCCTTTTCCTCCTTGCAGTTTCCACAGTGGGAAACAGCCCCACAGTACAGATACAACCTGTGACAGTTACTGCTACCTCATCCCTAACTTGCAAGTAATTTCAGCCTTTGACAGTTTTTTAATCAGATACACCCAAGGCTTAAAAACAAAGCTTAAACTCAAGGCTTTTCAATGGGTATAGATACCACAATTTAAAATAATGCTACGGTGGATGCAGTAGCTTTTACTCTTCTGACAACTACTACTTCATTCTTTTCTTCTTGGAAATAGACATTAGGAAAATCACAGAATCATTACGGTTTGAAAAGACCTTTAAGATCAAGTCCAA